TTTTTTTTTTTTTTTTTTTGGTTTAATTTTCATTTCCTTAATTACTCATGAGGCTAGCACACCCTATTTTATATGTTTACAGATCATTTCCTCTCCCATGATTTGGTCATTCATATCCTCTGCCTGTTTTCAATTGGGATGCTTGTGTTTTCTTATTGATTTGTAGATGTTTCTTACTTAATCTAGACACTATTTTTTGTTTTGTTTTTCAGTTTTAAAGTTGCAACCTTAATCTAGTTGATTTTTAAATTTCTTTACAGTTTATTTTTGTGGTTAAGAAACCTTTCTCTACCCTAAGTTCATAAAAATTTTCCTTACATTTTCTCCTAAAAGCATTGTGGTTTTGTTTTTATATTTGTCTTTAATCCATCTGGAATTTACTTTTGTACATATGAGGTAGGGGTCTAATTATATATTTGCGTGTGTGTTTATTATAAACAATGGTCCCAGATCCATTTATTAAGTAGTCAACAATTGTTGCCCTTCTCATTTGTAATACCTCTTTCCAAAATAAGGTTTCCCATGTGTCTGGGTCTGTTTCTAGGTATCTATCATACCTTCACTGATTACATATTTTCTTAACTATAATTAACTTTTACATCATTATATCTCACAGGACAAATTTCTTCACCTTCTTCAAATTCTTCTTCGCCCCTTCACATGAATTTTACCATTAGTTTGTCAACTTTCTTGAAGAACTAGGTTGGGATTTTATTTTTCCACACTGAATGTATGTATAGACTAATTTGGTACAACTGACTTTGTGAAACTGAGTCTTCTCACTAAAGAACATGATATATTCTTCCATCCAAGTAGACTTTTTTTTACATCTTTCAATAAAATTTTGTAATATTAGTTGTACCGTGTGCACCTTTTATTAAATTGGTTTCTAAGTATCCCATATTTGTTGTTGCTATTGTAAATGGAAGCTTTTTTTAGAAATGTCTTTTCCGTTGTTTGCTGATATTAAGAGAGCAACTGATTTTTGTATGTTGATCTTCCACCCAACAAAACATGTTCAGTTCTCTTATTAATAACCTGTCTTTACAGTCTCTTATGTTTTTTGCATATGGATAATCAACTCCAAATAATTGATGACAACTTTGTTTCTTTTCTTCCAAACTTATTCTTCATGTGGCTTATTTTTGTCTTGCTTTACTGGCTGGAATTTCCGACACTTTGATGAATAGAACCAGTGTCCATGAGTATCCTTTTGTTATTCCTGTGTCTTTGTTTTTTAATAATTTAAATATATATATATATCTTTATTGATTTCAGAGAGAGGAAGGGAGAGGGGAGAGAGAGAAACATCAATGATCAGTCACTGATCAGCTGCCTCCTGCATGCCCCCCACTGGGGATCCAGCCTGCAACCGGGGCATGTGCCCTGACCGGGAATCAAAGCCCAATCTCCTGGATTCTAGATCCATGCTCACCCTCTGAGTCACACCAGCCAGGCTGTTATTTCTGTTTTTAAGAGTATGTTTCTAAGGATTCACCATTATGTACATATATGTTTTTATAGATTTTGGGTATTTACATTTTATCAGCTTAAGTTCGTGTTTCCTAGTTTGAACATGAATGAATGCCGAGTTTTATTAAATAACTTTTCTGCATCTGTTGACATGATTATATGATTTCACCTTTAAATTGATAATGTAGTAAATTAATAGATCTTCTAACATTCAATCAATCTTGAGGTCTTGGAATAAACTCAACTTGGTTATGATGTATTTTTATGCACATGTTGCTGCGTTTGGCTATTTTATTTAGAGCTTTTGCATCTATGTTCTTAAAGGAGATTGGCCTGCAATTTCTTGAACTGTCCTTGTCTCTTTTTGGCATCATACTTACTAGACATATAAAAATAATTTAGTGCATTTCTGCACACTCTACTCTCAGAAGCAGTTTGGGTAAGATGGCAATTATGAGTTCCTTGAATGTTTGATTAAATTTTTTTATGAAACTTGGGTGATGCTCTCTATATTTCATTAAGTTGAACTTTATTTATTATTATTATTATTATTATTATTATTATTCTCCTCACCTGAGGATATTTTTTTCATTGCTCTTCAGAGAGAGCGGAAGGGAGAGAGAGGGAAACATTGATGTGAGAGAGACACATTGGGGGTCGAGCCTGCCCTTGGCCGGAATCGAACCCAGGACTCTTCAGTTCTTGGGTTGACGCTCTAACCACTGAGCAAAACCAGCTAGAACAAGTTGAATTTTAAATTATATAGTTGTTTCTGTATCTTTTAGCAGGTTTTTTTGACATTTAAATGATCAGTTATGACAAAAATGGACTGTTATGAGAGAGGTATGTTAAAATCTCCCTCCATAACTATGGATTTGTCAACTTCTCCTTATAGTTTTGCCAATCTTGGGCATATATTTAGAAAAACTATCTTACCTAGCTAATTCTGAGATATCTCCTTTTTTTATGTTTTTATTGATTATTTTAGAGAGAGAGGAAGGGAGAGGGACAGAGACAGAAACATCAGTGAGAAAGGAACATCCATCCGCTGTCTCTTGCATGCTCCCTACTGGGGATCGAGCCCGCAGCCGGGGCACATGATCTGACTGGGGCTCGAACCATGACCTCCTGGTTCATGGGTCTACACTCAACAGCTGAGCAACACCCACTGGGCCAGATGGCATACATGCGTGAGGAACATGTGTGAGGTCAGGCCCCAAATCACAAATTCTTAGGACTCTGTATTTGGTCAAACTGTACATGCTTACTTTTCACTTTCTGGTATTAGGGCAGAGAGTGGGGCTATACCTGGGAGTCTGGCTTTAGGTGGGAGTCTCACTTCTAACTCCCCACCCTGACCTAAGCTTTGCTCCCACGTGGTCACTAGCACTTGGTTGTTACAGAATTGATAACCTTCCCTTCAGGGGGGCTCCCGCATCAGCTCTTGGGCTTACCTTTCTGGCTTTGGTTTCTTCTCTATCTTTGGTCCCTGGATATTGCCCTTATTTGGGGGGAGGGGACACTTATTTGATCATTTAACATGTTTATTATTTCTGTAATTTAAACACTTCTATGTGTTTTGTGCAGGAAAGTTTTCAGTTTACATAGACCTCCATATATTGGCAGAAACAGGAATCCCTAAGTTAACTTTAAAAACATGATCTTTGACTCTAAGCCTAGTGGAATAATATAATTTACACATAATATCAGGCTATTAAAAACATCCCTAAAGTTTGATTATTCCTTTCCACCAGCTCTTTCTCATTTTAGGTTACCAGTTTTCCGTGTTGTCATTTAAAAATGTGTGTTTATAAAAGTATAGTTGCAGCTCCAGAAGGATTCAAGGCAGAATAACTAGGAACAGACTTGGCTTCTAGACCTATAGAAATTCTTACTAAGTTGGTTTTTCTTGGAACCAGCGAGTAACTTTCACAGTTTAGAACTGTAAAAAACTGCTTACAAAGGAAAGGCGAAAAAAGTTCTCTGCGCACAAAAGGCTGTGAAATAATAAAAGCGCACACGAACTGCTGAAAGGATGATCTTGCTTTCACACCCCGATGCCCCCTGGACCGTTTCTCCCCGCAGCCCGCCTCCCCCCTTTCATCCCTCGGCGCTGCCACTTGGAGTTGCAACAGCGA